CACCCCGACTACAACAACGAGCTCACCCAGTTCCTGCCGCGCACCATCGTCCTCAAGAAGCCGCCTGGGGCGCAGGTGAGACCCCCTGAACCCCCTCCCCGGCCCCCGGGGCTCCTCCCCGGTGGTTTCCCGAGGCGGTTCCCGGGTTTGCCTCACGTTGGTGGTTCCTGAAGCTTTTCCTGGGACAAACCGGTTCTGCGGGGGCTGGCGGAGCGGCGGGGGTGGGGTAATCCCCCGCTGAGAGCATCCTCCTAGGGATGAGGGCAGCCCGGGGGGGGGCCTGGGGCCTTTCCCCGTCCAGGGGCTTTGGGGAAGGGGGGACAGGGCTCCTGCCCTGCTGGGAAGGGCCGTGCCCCTGGGAAAGCTTCGTGGGTGGAGTCCAGTACGTTGTGGAGGTGACAAAGGGCAGGGAGCACACCTCGGGTGCTGGGGGTGGGAATGCCATAGAAGTTGGCAGAGGGGGACTGAACGCTGCAGAACCAGCACCTCTGCTCCGTCCGGAAGAGGCTCCTGTCCAGTGGGAAGGGGCCGGGCTACAGTGACTGCGTTTCACTGCTGGTTTCTCTCGCAGCTGGGCTTCAACATCCGGGGAGGAAAAGCCTCGCAGCTGGGGATCTTCATCTCTAAGGTGCGTCCATCCTTCTGCTGCTCCCTCTGCGTGTTCTGTCTCTTCCCCGGGGTGTTGCTGAGCCAGCTGGGTGTGCAGGGAGACTCTCAGGTGCCTTATATTCATCTCTGAACTCAGAGCTGTAATTTGCCACGCGACAAGCAGCAATCAGACAGTCCTGCACCATTTCCTGATCTTTCCGGAGTGTTGCTGGTGCACTGCAGTCCCCGCTCCCCATCCTCCCCAGTCCTGTGTGAGCACGCTGGATTGAGCGGCGTGGGGACACGCTGGGGCTGGGCTGTCTTCACTGTGGGGGACAGGAGCTGCGGCACTGGCCCTGCCAGGAGTCATTGCTGTCATCTCTGCTCCTCCCTTTGCAGGTGATCCCCGACTCAGACGCGCACAGAGCTGGGCTGCAGGAAGGGGACCAGGTGCTCTCGGTGAACGATGTGGATTTCCAGGACATTGAGCACAGCAAGGTGAGCACTCTTGAAGTCCAACTGCAGGAGCAGGGTCAGTATGGGGAGTCAGTGCACACATCGTCTCATTCTGATCTCTCAGCCTCCACCAACTCAGCTGGTGGCACCACATAACTGAGACCTTCCTTTTTTCTATCCTCCAGCCCAGTCTGGGCACTGAGCAACTTTTTTTTCTTTCAGGCTGTGGAGATCCTGAAGACGGCTCGTGAAATCACCATGCGCGTGCGTTACTTCCCCTACAGTAAGTGCCTGCTAGCTCCAAGTCTGCTCACCCAGCAGCATTTCTCCCTGGGAAGCAGATTGCCCTGCATCCCTCCTGATTCCAGGGATGCCCCATCCCTGGAGGGGTTCAAGCCCAGGCTGGATGAGGCTTTGAGCAACCTGGCCTAGTGGGAAGTGCCCCTGCCCATGGCAGGAGGCTTGGAACTCTATGATCTTTAAGGTCCCTTCCAACCCAAACCATTCCATGATTCTGTGATTCCACCTGAGCTTAGCGGTTGTGAGTCTAAGGTGGTAGATGGTGTTTAAACCAGCAGCCTACAGACCAGAAAGAAAATCGGGATTTGATCTGGGGATCAGGACAGCTACCAAGTCAAAACAGTAAGGACTGGCTTCAGCTGCCCATGCCCACGTAAAAAAACTTGCAGAGCAGAGCTTAGCAACACAGCAGTAAAAGGTGGGATGTTGAATGGAAACGTTAACTTGAGAGATGTAGAGGAAGCTGCTTATCCTTGAATAGGAATTATTTCTGTCACTAGCGGACCTATGCCCATGGTGGACACTTCTTGTGGCTTTTATCCCTCCCTAAGGATGTTTAAATTTCTAATGAGGGAAAAGACTGTATTAACAGTTTCTGAACCCATAGAGTTCATAGATATAAGGGGGGAAAAAAAAAAGGTCGAGTCAAGCCAGACAAGGATTCCTCATAAAATGGAAACTGACTCGTAGGTGAAAGTGGAGAAAGGCGACAAATACAGAGCAAGGAAGAAAGTATTTTAAACAAGATTTTGTTCTAAATGCCCTAAAATAACTTGACATGACTCGCTGGGGTGCAAATGTGCTATCTTAAAGCCAGCTGCTACCCAAGAGGGTAGCGAACACTGCCTCTACTTCATGAGGTATAAACAGAATTTATGTTTTCTTCTAACATTTTGGCTAATTCTCCTTTGTCATCAGTGACTGCCGCTCCTGCACTTTCAGCCTTGCCTTCTCTTTCCCTTCCAGACTACCAGAGACAGAAGGAAAGAACTGTTCACTAGTAGGCAGCCATCTGCTGGGTCTCCAGGGTGGCCGTCCTGCAGAAAACCTCTCCACTACTTTTCCTCAACATCTGAGACGACACATGAAGTTTCAGGTGGCACTGGAGGTACAACTGTCCTGTTGGCTGCACAGGCATTAGCTTGCCTGCGTGGAAGGATGCCAACAGAGTCTTATTTAGCTGGAAGATGGACGGGGCTTTAGTCTGTACTCCTTGAGCTGGCTATTGACACAAGCTGATGGTGCCGATGTGGAAGTGGGTACCAGAGGGCAGCTTCTCCAGCAAGATCTGTGCTTCTGTTCTAGCAGGATTCAAAGGAGTGCTCTGCTGGGTGTTGTTAGGATGTAACGCCAAGAGGGTCTGGGCATGCTTGAGCAGAGCATGGCCTTTGTCCTCCAAGAGATCAACCTGTTTGCTTCTCTGGTGACATGAAATTCTTTCCTTCTCCACTCTCCTACCTGTGCTCTACACTACGGGGTTTGCTTGGGACTTGAGGAACAGAAGTAAAATCCACTCGACCTTAGTGCACATCTCTGGCTGCACCAGTCTGCTGAGGCATGTTTGTACCTCTGCTGCCTAATGCCCCCCGCAATACAGGACCCAGGCGCTTGGAGCATGTTTTTGAAGGGCTGCGGGCACTTGGCCAGGTTCCCTCAGGTGTGGTGCTTGCACAGTTGAAGGTTTCACTCGCTGAACCTGCTTCCTTCACTTCGCACAGCCCTGTCCCTGTCACCTGCTCCCATCAGAACTGCCCCTCACTTTGAGGTAAACTTCTCCCCTGTTCTCAGAGAAAGGGGAGGAAGCCTGCCATGTCCTGCACTGGGAGACCACAGATGAAAATGTGATAATTATCAGCAAATCTGGGTGCAAATATTGTAAATAGCATCAGGACAGCCCTTGCTCTGCCCTTCTGTGCGGTGTTTTCTGCTATCTGTAATAATTGAAATAATAAAATTAGTACAGCAATGAGAATTCATCTTATTCCCACTCACAAAGTCTCTGTGGAGGGTGGTTTGTCACCACCCTCACCACTGCCCCGAGGAAAGGCTGGGCTCCAGCCACCCTTGCACCATGCAGGAGAAAAGCCACTCGCTGTCCCCAAAGCCAGCCCTGTGCTCTGCCTGGCGGAAAACAGGGTGACCGAATGCATGGGTCAGGCCTTTGGCACACAACTCAACTGCCAAGGAGCCCAGAGGTACTTTGACCTCGTTCCCCAGGAGCCTGTAAATCCCACCTCAGCATTCCGTCTGGGAATCCTGCTTCAGAGCAGTCCCTGGCAGGAGCTCCATGACATCTCCCCTGCCCAGGGCAGCCTCCTCCCTGCCATTACTCAGAGGTAATTAGCAGGGTGCCGCCGCAGCC